GGGGGGGGGGGGGGGAGTCCTGCTCCTGGTAGGCCGATCTGTCGTTTCCTCCATTAGTATCAGCTCATTACAGCCATTGTTAAACCAATTACAGAGGTGTTAATGGACGGTGGAAGCCTATTGGAATGAGAAACGGCCCCCAGAGAGAGGATATGGCTAAATGTGTGTTGGGGGGTAAAAAGAAATGGGACCTTAAAGGAACATTACACCAATCAAAGATGTTTATTAAGAGGTAGGCTGGAAGCTTCATGCGCCATGGCCAAAATACAGAGCTCCTCCATCAGTCCATGAACCAGAGCATTCAGCTCACAGTGTGTGTGGCTATAAGAGACACACAACACAAAGCACAACAGCTTCACTGCATTTGTTTTCTAATTAATTGGAAATCAGATGGTAAGTTTGTGGTTTCTTTTCCCAGAGCAACATGAAGGTGGCGCTGTGCTGGAAGTTCAGGATGTCAGATTGTGCTAAGTTAGATATAAAAAGTTACTGATGGGACAAAAATAGCACAAAGGAATCACCTCCTAAATGTAATCTGTGAACAAGTGAAGTGTCTTTTTATTTATCCTGTTTATTTTATGTATCTGTGGAGCTGAGGCATTCAGGAGCAGTTTTGTGTTGGCCTTTGGGAGACGACCCTGTAATGTTTCTGATGTGAGACTGGATAAAGAAGTTCCACCAGGATATGATGAATATAATGCACTGGAGGAGATACAGTACCTATCTATCTATCTCTGTGTGCTGCCTCTTCAAGTTTTAAAACACATAAACCAAAAGCTTGTTCTTTCTGTGGAAACTGACCCAAGCGCACAGTCGAGCCTCTGTCGTGTTATTATTTATTATGATCGGAAGCTGAGGTCAGAGTTTACCATCCTTTCACTATATTTCCGTGCAGATGAAGACAAAAAAAAAGCTCATCTCTTTCAGGCTTAATTACATCATTACAGACACTGAGGTGTTAGATCATTCCACGTGTTAATCGACCTGACAGCGTTTTGCAAACAGGCGATAATCGCTGAGTCTTTACAGGTGATGACCTGTAGAGAGTCTGATTGACAATACACACACACACACACACACACACACAGCTGCAGCTGGAATGTGAGGATGAGGAGAAAACATGCTGACTGGCTGTTAAATTGGTGGTAAAAATGAAGGAAACCCTCACCATGTGATTGATTATTAAAGGTAAAATATCAATCAATACAAATCCAATCATGTATCCTGAAGGTAACACAGCCATCAGGTGGCTGTTAAAGATCACACATGCTCGAGTTTCCCCCCAAATCTTCCCAGAAACATAAAATGGAAGCCGGCTGAATCAGGTCTTTTATACTTCTTCATATTTCCTGCGCCTCTGTCTGATACACCTTCCTGTTATTTCTTATTTCCTCGGGATCTTTTTTTCTCACAGTCTAATCCCGTCGACCTCCCGCCTGCGCATCAATTACATCTCCATTGACTGGCCATTAGGCAGAGGCATTGACATTCACGGGCCTCCGTCTGCACCGAGGCCGATGTGTATTCTACAACACAGGAGTCCGGCCTTATGCATTACACCAGGATTACATTATTTATTGTATTTCTCTGTGGCGTCGGGCCGCGAATGCCTCTTTAGAGAAAAAGAAGAAGTTCTCAGGGAAGCTGCGGGTCTCCGTCATTCACCCGAACCAAATTTACGCACAGATTGCGCACAAGGGCGTCCAGTAAATTGTATGTGAGCCAATATATATAAAGGCTATGTAAATATATGTTGGTACCTTTACGTTTTTATATTGACCCTATTTTACCTGATGATTTGATGTTGCAGTAATATTTCTTTATGCAGCAAAAGTATTTTTTCTATAGCTACGTCTGGGAACTGAGTGTGGTGAGTTTGCTGCTTTCTGATTAGGATCTCTTGTGATCTTATAGCCTTCTTTTGATAGTCAAATATTTTCCTAATAGTTTTTCATGTCTATCGGGAAAATATTTGACTATCAAAACCCAGAATCTGAAACAAGTGTTGGCGGTTACTACAATTAAACCCCCAAAGAATGTGTTAAAATGTTCATAGCCCCAAGAAGTGATAGCCGAGAGAATTGATGACTTTAACGCCCCTCACCACACACACACAAACACACGCACACGCACAAAACTGCCACCCCATCCCAGTAAAGGTAGTTCAATATCTAGTGTTTTTTTTGCAAATTAAAAAATAAATATTCTGTTGATCATGTGGTAAAATTTCCCTTTTTTAAAACTTATTTCAATTTAATTTCCAAAAACTGCAGAAAAAAAGAAATGATTCAAGAAAAAATGTAATTTAAACGTTTTGAGATTAAATTGAAGCTTCACGGTTGCATTTTGGGGGAAGTTCTTCCATCTATTTATAGAGCAAACGCATTCTTTCATAACCTGTTTGATAATTAACTTTTGACCATACTAACACCTCACCCATATGAACTTCGCTGCTCTATTTAAAAAAAGAAAAAATCCACTCAGCTCTGTCACAGGAGGATTATGGGACAGTCTTTCGTCCGGGTGGCCCTGGTGTAGCCGCCGGCCAATATACAGCACGCCAGGGGGCCACATCGGCCTTTTTGCGGGGCCCTTCCTGGATCCTAACACGGTATTCAAATGTCAGGAGCGGGGCGGGTCCCACCGGCACCTTATAAGAGGAGGACGTCCAGGTTCTTCACTTTATTTGCGCTCTGCACGTCCGCCTGCCGCACACTGCGTCCCGGACACATTTAAGAAAAACGGGCCAGAGGAAGAAGTCAACATCTGCTGAGCCATAACAAGATTAAGGTTATGAAACAATGGATGACTGACAAATAAGAAATATTGACTTTACCTTTACCAAGAGCAGAGCGTCGCATCACTCTTTGACTTTCTTGGCAAAAGGGAGGCAACTTCGTGCTTGGATTTTTTTTTTTCCGAAAGTTTCCAACTTTGTGAAGGATTTTATATTTATTTTTGATATAAAAGAAATCCTGTCATAGATAAGTCTTTCTCCTCCAAAGACTTGTGTTGGGGATGTTGAGCTCTGTGAAGATGGAAGCCCATGATCTACCAGAGTGGAATACTTTCTACAGCGAGGCCAGTGAGGTAAAGACAAGATCACACAGCAAAAGAACGAATGAATCTCTCTGTTTTTATTTCCTCGAGTTGTAAACTACAGGATAAGTCTATTAGTTAATAATAAGTAATAAAAAAAATAATAAGTTAATTAATTTATTTATTTTTTGGAAGAGAACTACAGCAGATACATTTCAATTTGCGCACATTTTCAGCAGAACTCTGAAACACAGCCGCAATCCTGTGATAAATTATAAACCAATGCTATAAAAATGTAACCTTAAAACCATCCGATGGAAACATTATAGGAGTAAAATAAGATTTAAAATAGCTTATGATAAAGTAACACAGAGTATCAAGGCTCCGTTTTCTTTAACAAGAATATAAGAAACATCATCAGGAGACAAATGCTTCAAAAGTAAACAAAAATAATCAATATGTTATTCTTCTATAAAATATAAACATTGTACAAATATGACTGAAAACGAAAAATGAAAAAAAAAGTAAAGCCACTAAGTAATTACACCGATTTAACATTAAATTAATTGGATCACGGATAATTGTAGTTTAACATAAATATAATAATAAATATTCTGCTTCTAACTTTCTCACTAAATGAATTTTGAAAGTTATTTGCGCATCAATAGAGGACTTCTTTTGTGTCCCCGCAGCCGCTCAAGTGTTTGCGACAATTCAGGTGTAAATGCAACAAGGCTTTTCCTCACTAATTCAATTAGAGTTAATTCCATCAGCAGCTTCAGTTCTCACCTCGCCCCGACCTGATGAAATTACCTAGAAGAAAGAGTCTGATAATATTTAACCAGCGACCAGTAAACGGATCGAGACTCCTTCTGTTCCGCGTGGATTTTGTTTTTTTCCGCTTATTAAATATTTTTTGTTTCCCGTCAAAGGCCTTTAGAAATTTCACAAAAAATACGTTTAACACAGAATTGTTCATCTTTGACAAACACGAGAAAAATTCCTCCAGTGGAGCTTAAATAGTGAACATTTGGTTTACTTGTTTTTTCCACGGAAGCAGTGGAGGAGGCCGTCTGAACTTAGAGGCACCATGACGCGCTTTTTACGCATTTCAGGTTAACATCGCTGTGTGAAATCCATGTCCTCTCTGCGCGCACTGAGAGCTCATTGTGCATTGATAAGGAGCCACTTTTTAAATGGAGAGTCAAACCACTTCACTCTCACATTTAAACATCTATTTTAGTGCAGTCATTTGAATTAATATCAGTCAAAAAACACAGAACTCTTTCTGTTACTTGTTTTATAAATATTAAAAATCATTTACAGTAATAACTAATTCATATTTCCTCTGCCACTGCACTGTTTTCTTGTAAATAACCAGATGTTGTTGTGTTCCTCTTTGCCTTCAGATGTATTCCTCTCCCAGCACCATGAACTCTGGTCTGGGCTCCATGGGCTCCATGGGCACCATCAACAGCTACATCAACTTGAACCCGGCCACCGCCTCCCCTGCAGGCATGAACATGGCGTACCCAAGCTCCAGTCTCAGCGGTTCCCCGCTAACTTCCATGGGCTCCGCGCCCGGCCACATGTCCCTCTCCCCAGTGGCCTCGTCCCTCAGCTCGGGTCCTTTGACCCAGCTGGGCCCTGCTGCTCCAGGCTCCCTGGGCACCTTGTCCCACTACCAGAACATGGGCCAGTCAATGAGCCAACTGGGGTACTCCTCCACTGCCACCCTGAGCCGGGCCGGGCCCAAGGAGATTCCCCCGAAGCCCTACCGACGCTCCCTGACCCACGCCAAGCCACCATATTCCTACATCTCCCTCATCACTATGGCGATCCAGCAGAGCGGCAGCAAGATGCTCACCCTGAACGAGATCTACCAGTGGATCATGGACCTGTTCCCCTACTACCGCGAGAACCAGCAGCGCTGGCAGAACTCTATCCGTCACTCGCTCTCCTTCAACGACTGCTTTGTGAAGGTGGCTCGCTCGCCGGACAAGCCGGGCAAAGGCTCTTACTGGACTCTGCACCCCCAGTCAGGCAACATGTTTGAGAACGGCTGCTACCTGAGGCGCCAGAAACGCTTCAAGATCGAGGACAAGATGGCAAAGAAAGCAGGAAAGAGCCATGAGGGCTCAGGGAAAGGAGGCCACGGTGGAGACCACCTGATGGAGGATCACAGCCCCACAGGAGGATCAGAGGGCGCCGACTCCGCCCACTCAGACAACTCCCACCCGGGCTCCTCAGATGACCAGCCGCATCCACGAAACTCACTGGTTCCACTAGACTGCCCTCAACTGTCCTCCTCACACCTCCACAGCCCACCTGTCTCCCTGCCACCCTCTTCCTCCTCCTCGTCCTCCATCCCTCCATCCTCCTTGTCCCTCTCAGCCACCTCCTCTTCCTCCTCCAACCCTCTTCTCCACTCCCAGTCTTTGGTGGGTAGCGGCCATCTCCTGCCCAGCACCATGCAGCACCACATGGACCTACAGAACGATGCCCTCAAGTCCCTGGACCCCCACTACAACTTCAACCATCCCTTCTCCATCACCAACCTCATGTCCAACGAGCAGAAGATGGACCTCAAGTCCTACCAGGACCAGGTGATGGCCTACAACAGCTACACCGGCGGTTCTCCTGTGGGAGCCAAGCAGATCTACGACAGCCCAGGGCCAGCCGCCATGGACTCAGGCGCTTACTACCAAACTCTGTACAGCCGCTCGGTGCTCAACGCCTCCTAATATGGACACTCACCCCCACACACACACACAAACACACCTGTCTGTAGAGGTGAGCCAAGATGGAGACTTGTCTTTCTCTCTGCCTTTTCTAAAATGGACACCCAAGCTCTCTTTATCTTCCTCTTTCTTTCTCTCCCCCTCTCTGGCTCACATCCAGTGGCCTTGGAAGAGACTCACATCTAAAATGGCTGCCGTGTTTGAGGGGCAAAAGAAAATTTTTTTTCTTTTACCAACTCTGATGAACATGGAGACCGGTTGGTTACATGGAGGACAGAAAAGTGAAGCTGGATGAAAAGAAGTCTTAACTAATGATGAAGACATTTGGCTCGTACGTGTGTAAGTCAATACAGAAGTCAGATGTTGTCGTAGGACCACTGCACGTGGTGAAATTGGCTCTGTACAAAATGTAAATAGAGGTAATGTGGGGGGAAAAGGATATTTGCATTTATTTATGAAGGGAATAAATTTTAATATATCTTGTATAGCGCTCTGTTGACCAGTTACAACCCCAATGTGAGTTTTTTTATCCAAAGTTGGAGAGAAGGAGGCGAGTTTCAGGTTACTGCGTCAGGCAAGTGTTACTGCAGCGGGAGACAGTTTTTTTGTGTGTGTTACAGCATTTCACACTACATTCCGTCATTTCTGCCAGATCAGGCATCCGTCAATGTAAATGTAGCTCATGAAGTCTGAACTTTCAAAAAAATGGTTTGTTATTTTGGTTGTTATGAAGAAAAAAAAAGCCATTATGTTCTTGCTGGAGCGCAGAGGAAACAGAAGTATAAAAAAATCTTCTGCTGCCGCCAGAATGAACGAGGCAAAGTAACTGTGGTAAAAACTAAAAAAAACCATGTCATGTTTATGTTTTTCATTTCCCACAATCATTTTCCTGTTGTTACCTACAGGAGCATTAAAACCAAATGCTTCTCGACAGACTGTAACATTTTGAATAGCAGATAGCTGGTGAGGTGCATGGGGGAATTCAGTCAGTTACTAAAACAGTGGAGGGGAGGAGAGATGCACTATGGGAGGATTTACATACAGTACTTTGCACTATGGAGCTCCCACTGGCCAGGTGGGCTGATAGTGTGTGTGTTTGTGTGTGTTACAACAATACTTCAGGACACCCCCTTACACTGTCAATGCATCGGCTCAATGGGATCAGTGTCTGGGGGTGTCAAATAACCCTCGCTGTCCAAAAAGTGCCTTCTCTTCAAACGTCTGCTGATCTAATAAGTGATCAATGTATCGACGATCTATTGAAGGATTATTCTGATAAAGAGGACGCAGAAGTTTCAGGTCACATGATGTCCTTTGTGGAGCATATTTTAGTTTCAGAGAGAAATGTCTTTATTTAAGCTATGTTGCTTTTCAAACTTTGAAAGTGTGCTGATATAATATATTGTTTTTTTTTGTTGTTGTTTTTGTTGGTTTAAATGTGATTAAAATGATTCATGTTTCATTTTTCTTATTAAAAAGGCAAAAAATGTGGGGAGAAATGGTGTAGTGTTTTTTCTTTTCCATCAGTGGTAACGCAGGAAGTGTTTGATGTCAAACACTGACAGCTGTTCCACCTTGCATTCACTGGTAAAATCTGTTCATTTACAAAGATGCTTTTCTTTTTTCACAAGCAAATTTCTCAGAATCATAAGAAGAGACCACCTTATTCTGAATTACATGTGTAAAATTTACTTATGGCTTTACAAATATTAAAATCAAAATGATGTTATGCAACTGGCTTTTATTCTATTTGGAAAAATCTCACTAAGTTCAAGGTTTAGTAGATTTTAGTAGCATTTTTAAATGCAGCAAATTATTCTTCACAAACAGTCGGTAAATGCAAAAAAAAAAGAAAAAGCAGGCCAATACTGTGTAAGTTTCCAGATCAGCAGCATTGCCAACAGGACCTCGATGACTCGTCCTGGTCAATCAATCAATCATGACTCTTTTTTCACCTGGCTGGCGAGGCTGTGCGGCAGGAATAGCAGCGTCTTGTTGAAACAGCTCCTGACCAAATGACTGTGGTGTGTGACATGTCGGACTGGTAGACTAAACACGGCTGGATCACACTGAGAGCCTCAAAGCAGACCTCTGCGCAGGCCATCGACCCGGGCGGCACACACACAGCGAGACCAGGACCACTCCAAAAACGTCTGGCCTGCCCCTGACCCTGCACTAGAAAAACTATCAGCAACAAAACAAAACAAAAACAGGGAGAAAGCAGAAGCAGAATATTTTGCTCTTTAATCTTTACTGTCTCTGCTCAGCCACAGCAGCTCTCCCTCTGACCAATCAGTGTACGCTAAATGTCAAACACTTCCTGTACACTTCAGAAAAATTCAAACAGCAGCTGAAGAACAGAAACCTGTTGAATTACTTATGCACAATATGAAGAGAATAAGACAGATTATTGATGAATTACATAAAAATGTTTGCACATTATGACTTTAAAGATGATAAAAATGCTAAATGTGGATGGTTCCTTCTCTTTTAATCTGCAGGAAAATAAAATAGTTTATTTATGGATCCTGGTTTCTGCAGCAGCCGCCCTTCCCTGGCCCTCTGCTCCCCTGCCCTGTCGCCAGGCCTCTTGTCTACCTGTCTGCCTGTCTATCTGCATGACTGTTGGCCTGTCTGTCTGTCTGCTGGTAGTTGCTCAACCTAGCCCTGTGTTGTCAGAGTCACGTATTTGTCGCTGCCTTTTCTTCTCTGTCACGTCAAGCCTCGAGGCCTCAAAACTGTAGACTGCAGCAACACACAAACGCACGCACATACACAACATACATTACGTACACTAGCTATATGTTACCCTCACTGTTTAACTTCAGTTTGGATCAATGAAGCTAAAGAACACATAATGGGACCTGTTGCTGCAGTAACACGAGCAGTAACCTTTTTATGATACAACATCAATACATGGGCCTCTAAAAGAGCCTAATATACACACACGCAGACACACACACACACATCTTTCCTTAAAGAAATGGTTACTGGTCTGAGTGGGAATCTGAGGCAGTTCGTCACCTTGCATACACAATAGTCCCTTTAGAGCAGTTGGCCTGATAAGATAGGCGAGCACCCGCCTGATATGGTCTCCACAGCTACAAAGTCACACACACACACACGCACACATACACACAGACACACACGCACGCACGCACACACACACACACACACCAGGGTGCTCCAGGTATGACTAACCTGGCCGACTCTAAAATGTCACTCTGATACGTCCCCTCGCAGTAATCAGGTGACCACGCTGATAGTGGTCATATTCAGTCCAGGCTTCTCATGAAGGAAAACAGATTAGAGTCTATCCACAGATAACATACTGTGGCTTGAGGTTTTGAAGGAGCAACAATGAAGCAGTTAGAGTGGAACAATTTCAGCAACAAAGGGAGAAAAAATACTTAAAGTGTGACCCTTACATTTGTAACCTTTCGGTTGTAATCTGTAACCCTCAGCTGACCCAGTTTCCAAATGCGAGACTCTTAGAAAATAGATACCAACTGCTGATAACAGTCTGGATGTCACAATAAATTAATCTCCTCTCACAAATGGCCATAAGAACCTCAGCTGAAGATACGATTTTGTTTAAAGTTTTTGGGATTTGCGTCGTATCCACACATTGTTGGGTTCAGGAATCGCTCGTGTTTTTCATGCATCTAAAGACTTAAATCTTAAAATCAATATGCTGTCGCAGATGTAACACAGTCTATGTCCGTATGGGAAGGAAAAGTGCAGACAAGGCTTTGGGAAAAACACATACATGAAGTCAGTCTAAAGTAAATCTAAACTGTGGTCTATTGTATGCTGATCTACTGTGATCTTCATATGAAACTGTACCGTAAAATAGTAAAACATGGAGATAAGTGTGTGAATAACTCCAATGTGCACGCCATTTTGGCCACAACTGCCTCATCACTGCATAATAGATACATGAAACACACACTGTTTTAGATTTGCTGCAGACTCTGCGCCATAAGAAGACCAGATATTCCAGGAAAGAGTGTGCTGGAGGCAATGTCAGGCAATGTATGAGAGCTGATCACAGGATGTCTGTGGTGGACTCAGCAGGGGCGTCTCCAGACTTTTTATCTGAGGTGGCACAAGTGGAGCACTGACCTTTGCAGTTGTGGTATGAAGAAGGTGTCTCAGTTTTTCAGTCATTGCCATTTTGTGTAATTCCAATACTGTTTATAGACCCCAGTATGCAGAAATATTCATGCAAATTGCTCAATTCCCCCAAAACTGAATGGGAATAGTATCAAGATGGGCATGTATGTAAAGGGTAGACTTGGGTAACCACAGAACCCATTTTTGTTCAGATATCCTGAGATCAGTGGCCATGCCAGCAATGTTACCAATGGAAGTGTTAGGTCATCTAGTTTAATATGATACCAGTATCTTCACCTTAGCTTTAAAATTGAGCCCGCTACAGCCTTCTGAAAGACAATGCGGAGTGAAAGAGGTCTGACCACCCCAGGCCCCCCCTCTGTAAACACCCCTGCTCTGCGGTCTGGCTGTGAAAAAAAACTCTCCATTTCTTCTTTCTGTTCATCCTGGCACTATCTGGGTGCCACCGTCATACCCAAACTATAACAGTTTTATGACCAAACAATGCTACAGTTACAGGTGTGGTTAGGTATAGACACAACAATGGCTTTATGATGATTATGGTTTGGCTTAAAATGAAACCAACAATCTCCAATTCTCTGCAAATCAAGAACCCCCCTATTTCTCCGACTGTGACTTTGCACTTGTCCTGCATTTTTGACATTTTATAGATAAGTCACAGGTTTCTTCTGTGACAACAATAAATACAATGTTTTTTGGTTAATTAGTTTATTAGTAAGGGACATGTACACAGAATGCAGTGTCCGATGTGCCACCAACACCTGGACGATTCTGCAAATTGACTTCCTTTTTATGTTATCTACATGTGGCAATTTGGAGAAACACTGTGATTACAGTTAATGAAATCTGAAAAATGTTAACTGAAGGTCTGTAACATGATGTAAACTCCATTTTTGCGCAGTTATACTTTCCACTTTGCTACATAAGGAAAGCAAACAGTTTTGGTGGGAAAGGCTTCCCTAAGATAAGATCTTATCAAACACTAAATCACTTTGTTTCACGTTTTGCATAATTGTGGCTTTGAAAGTTTCTGGCTTTAAAGAGAGTCAGCGTGGCCTTCAGACCTGTGTGAGGGTGATGTCTTCTGTCGGTACAATGGATATTTGTCTCCTGAGGTGCAACAGTCTCTTAGTTAGTACAACCTGTTGAACACTTGATGACAGCTGCCCTCAGGCTGTACTGCTGGTGACAGTAAAATCCAACGAGGAGCCTGCGAGCATTCACACTTGCACAAAGAGCTCCTGTGCTGAAATGAAAGAGTCTCATGCAAAAATAAGATGTATTTTCTGCTGCTGCTGCTGCAGTTTATGTCCAACCTTCATTTCATCATATTATAGCCACTGGCTTAGGCGCCTGAGTAATGGAGCAAGTGGAGCAAATGCATCCCCATTAGGGAGAGCAAAATTATGCTTTTGCTACCCCAATTTTTGTCTTTATAAAAATAAACATATACATTCCTTGCAATCAGGTGTTTATGTTTAAGCAGCATATATCAATGCTCATTTTACTATTTTCAGCAAATGGCAAAAGCAAAAGAAATCACACATTTTTGGACCACACTTTGAATTGCTTCAGTCGACCCTGTGTACAAAACTGAGCTAAACTGTGATCATGGACATACATGAAAACACATAGGAACAGATAGACCAGCATATGCTGAATGAACCTGAGTGGGCCACTGACTCAAGACAAACTTTTTTGTATTAATTATCCAAAAGAAGGATTGTGCTGTCGCCAAAATGTCGAACCGATTTGCGAGTCAACTTTAGCTAACATTACCAATCCGTCCACCTAACATTAGCTCACTGATCAGATAGGATTTGACTGTGGAAGCAGACATGAATCGTCTATAAATAAAATAAGAAAGTCTCAATGATGCCACAAAGTTTCACAACATTCATGTGCTTCACTGTGCAACAGTGCAGTGAGGATTTTTCCATTCAGCAGGTGGTTTAATTCTGATCTCCTTATCAAGAAAAAACTGACAGATACAAGCATGAAGAAAGAAAGAAAGAAAGAA